GAAGCAAGAAATGCTTTGTAAAAGAGCTGTATAATATAAGCTGTGTTAATATAAGATGAGTGGAATCAGTGAGGTGACAATGAAGCTGATTGAAGGTTGTCATCTCAGGTACACAGACAGGATGGCAGCCTTTGGCTGAGAGCTCTTGTTCCCATGAAGAGTCAGGTGGATGAAGCAATGAGCAAATTCCAGCTAGAGCAAAGAGGGGATTCTACCTGAGCAAAGTTCAGATGCTGCTGCGTGGCTGGGCATATGATTCCCGTAGGAAACAAGTGCCATATCTTTTATGTAAAACACTGAACTAGAGAGCCAGTATAATCAACTAAAATGGACAATATCTTGCTATATATTCAGCATTGGGTTGTGGGATTTTAATAGTTCATTAAATTTACATTGCAATTTTGTGGATGATATAAAAAAATTACTGTGATCTGGCCAGCACAAGAGCTCTAATACAGCTATGGGAGAATGAGATGAAATCTACTCTGGCTCATTTGTTCTTAAGGAAAGTGCTTGCTGTGTTTTAGTCTTTTCTACTGAAGCTGATGCAGAGACCAGAAAGGATATACCCAGATTTTCAAACCACATCCTGAGCTGGCAAAATTGCCTTAGGAAGAAAAAAATGCTTTTCTTGTAAACTAGTCAAAATTGATAAAGTGTCAAAGCGATAAAGCAATAATAACATATTACTACTTGTTTGCTTTTCAGCATATAATATACTTCAATATACATGTATCTCAGCATATAAAGTACTTCAACATACTATGCAGGTTACTACAATGATTTCACTCTCTATGTCATTTTACTCCAGAATCTTAAATTAAAGGAATAGGCTTATGAATGGTAGGAAATTAGGAAACGCTGTGAAAGGTGAAAAGATATCCAGGAAGTGAGAAGGTGGTAAAAGGAAGCTGTGTTCGAATCAGGTACAATATCTGACCTGTAATTGGCATAGAAATTTTGGGTATTGGCAGTGGATGGTTTAGTCATGGCTCCAGCGCTTTTACAGCATCCTGTTGCCTTCCCCTTTTCCTTTAGGGGAGGGCTTGTTCACGGTTCATTCAGTGCTGCTGGTTGTTGTCGGGAGATATGTTCCCTTTCACCTACCCACCTCTCTGAGACTTTGGCATGTTTGTTTGCAAGTTGTCTGGCTGAAACTCAGCTCACGTGGAAGAAAGTCCTTTGAGTTGTCTCTCCAGAGCCCTACCTGTACCCAGGGGAGAGGATTTCTTATCAGTTCTGAAAAGAATGGGCATCCTTTGGTGTCAGTTCAAGCCTTGGACTTTGCTTTTAGATGTCATGGTGATGGTGACATTACAAAGCTAGATAGTGCACTCTTCTCACCCACCCCAGGCAGTTCCCAGCTTCCTGTGTCCTTTCACCCTTCTCCTTAAAAACGTATTCATCAATCATATAGTGAAAATATTTGTATTTAACCCATCCATACCAGAAAGAGGAATGTCAGCTGGACCAGTTTTCACAGAAAAATCGTGTTTAGCAAGCCAGCAAACAGTTCACAGCAAGTTGTCCATTTCGGTATTCTCTCAGAGTGGAAGCAGGAACCTGAGCAACTTCATTCTAATGTGGTGGCAGCTTCAGCTCCCCTTGGACCCTTGCACCCTCCAAATTACATCTTAGGGGAGAAGGAAGAAATACATCCCTGAATTGCCAATAGTCTTTCTTTATGCTTCCCTTCTCCTTTAACTGCCCTGCTGTTTGACAGTGACTCCTAAAACTCTTTCAAGAGATAATGATGTATAAGTGTATCATTCAGAGATGACTGAATCCCACCTTTAGATCTTCAACTTTTTCTAAATTAAAGCTCGATAGCCTGTATGTTTAAGTCAGGTTATAGACTAAGAGAATATGGTGCCCTCTACACTGTGCCTGCAATGATCTAAGCTATTCTTTGTAGTTATTTAGGATTTTATATCCTTTTTTTTTCAGGAAATGAATGACACTGTGTGAAAACAAATTGTGTAAGGGGAGCGGTGACAGGACATTTAAGTGAAGCATGGACATTTCAATTGAAGTACAGTGTGTTAGTCAAATGCTACCTGCTGGGCTGATTAGCAGCAACAGTATAATTCTGTAGCCTGTGTTACACAGGAAATCATAGTAGAAAAATAAACGGCCTTTCCAGGCTGTAGTGTGGGAATATATAAATGTCCTGTGCTTTGGTATTCACTTTGTCTTAGGTTCTGGAATGACCAAGAGTCGTGTATGTGCTTTCATGGCACATCCATTTTCTTAAGTGCTTGGCAGAGCCAGAGGAGCAGTGATCGCAGGGAAGGAACTGAATGTTTTGTTAGTTTGTGATTTCTGGGCTGTGTTGTTTTGTGGTTGGGTTTTTTTGTTGTTGGTTGTTTTTTGGGTTTTTTTTAATGAAGTTGATAGCTTTGGGATGAAAAGGGTCTTCGGGTTTTTGTTGGACTTAGCACCTCTGTGGTTTTGTTAAATAAACAATGTGTGTATACCTAGAACTTCAAAGTGTCTCTAAAAGTCCTACAATGTCTGGATGCCTGTCACTGCTGCCAAGACTGTTCCGTGAAAGGCAGGACTGTCAACCATCACAGAAGTGCAGAAGTTTGGCTTTTCTCTCTGTCTGCTCCTCTCATACTCCAGCTGGGTTTGTTTGTGTACCTGTCACATACTTCTGTTTTTCATTTTCACAGTTGATGCAAACCCTAAAGAATAGCTTTATTCACTTTTCAGGTATCTTTATCAGCCTTCTCCCAACACACCACAACCCCAAGCCTCTGTTTTGTGAATGCCTTTTCAACAGATCTACTCCATGCTAGACTGGTTTTATTTTCTTACTTTTTGGCAACCAGCCCACAAGATCACTGCGCTGTTGCTAGTGAATAAGGAGTAGGATGTTGGGATCACTTCTGTCATACTTTAAAATACAGAAGGTTTTTTTATTTTTTCGGTATGTTTTCCTTCAACTTGCAGTACTCTGGCAATCTCTGTCACAAAAAGCTGCAGTCACTGAGCACTTCGTTGTTTGAGATAGGTCTTGAGCTTCACGGTAAATACACACGTGTGAATAACAGAGCAGGATTTTTCTGACATACTGACAGTTTTACATGGGAAAGAAGACACATTCAGAATGTTATTGCATCATTTTAATTACAAGTCAGAGGAAACTCTGTGTTTCCTTCATTCTTACCTTTTAAACTGTAGAAAACATCAACGCCAAAACAGACAAGTTCACGTATGGTAAGACATATATACCAAGAAACTGTACAGTAGTTGCACAGATTTTTGAAGGCTGGGAGAGGTTAGGCTAATATTTAAGCTTTGTTCTCATGGCTTACAAGAAGAACAACATAAATGAGAATCCTGATGCTTTGCAAAGCCACCTTAGCTTCACTGTGGGTCCAGTAACCGATTTCTCCCATGGCCTCTATTAGGGTGGGGGGCATTTTTACTGCTGGTTGTCTGGTAAGTAACTGGTGGTGGTGGCTCTTTTTAGCAGTATTATTTTCATCTAATTGATCCACCCTTTTAAATCAGTCATCGCCAGTCAAACAAAAGCTGTTTGCTTCTACACTGGAATCAATAAAAAATGTATTATGGCTTAGCTGGGAACAAGCTTTTCACCTTTTGCTGTTTTAACTCCTGTTTATGGATAGGTTTTCCTACCATTCATATTGTATTGTTTGTATGTTAGGTCTGTGTGATCTGTAATCTGCACAGAAAATACATGCTGTCTGCAGTACAAGAACAGGGTTTTTGTTTCAGTGTTTGCTGCTAATATATAAGATGTTATATTGATCCATTCTGGCTTCTCAAGTGTTTTCCTGGTGGTGACGAGAAAGACAGTATAATTCTTCACCAAAAGGAAGAGAGTTTAATTTTCATGCGAACCAATATTCAACAGAATCATAAAGCCTTAGCCCTGGTAATAAAAATAGAAGCTGATGCTATTAATACATCATTCCAGAGACACAGAGCACCATTATATGGCTCCTGGGTTGAGTAAAACTTCATGTAATCACAGTAGCCATAGACTTAAGCCCTATAAAGTTGGAAACTTCACCAGATGGCCATTGTCAAGGCAGCGTCTAAAGACTTTAGAGCTGCAATGTGTTAAGGCTCTAGATAGGACTTGCTCAGTGATATCTTTTTAAAATACAATTACCGAATGTAACTGATCCACATTATAGAAGTAATAATAATAATACTTTGCACTCAGTGACCTTTTATCTGAGGACCCAAAAGCTCTTAACCAGGGCTTTTAAATGCTCCCTTTCTGCTCGTAGGAAATGAAGTGTTCAGAGTCTTGATGGGGTGTGAGAGAATTGAGCAGCAGCAGTCGGACTTCGTGGCCTATTACAAGCAGTCTGGCGGTGCTCTCTGCCGGCCTGGGACTGGGACTGGGAGCGCTCCTGTCCCTGACAGCTGGGACATGATGTCCCAGTCGCTTGGGGTGGAACCTCCTACTTCAGTAGTGCTTTGAAGCGTGAATAGAGCCAGCCTGTGAGCGGCTTCGCCCGTACGTTAAAACGCTTTGTGGCAGGAACGAGAATGACATATAATGGCCCTAACCTGAAATTTCCTTTATTCGCTCTGTAAACTGTGAAGGTAATACTGAAATGATTGTAAGATCTGAGGATACTAAGGCTCAGATATACCACTCTTAGCTGAGGAGCTTAGATGTGGAGTGATATATCTTAGGCTTTATATATTCAGGACAGACAACTACCTGCAAAGAGTGGCCTGTATTTTAGGGAGAACAGTTATGTCCTTTTTAAAAGTACCACATGTTGGCCATGAATTTACTGAGATTTAATACTTGGCCTCAAAAATCACATAATGGTATTTATCGGTAATGGAAGTAAATAACTGTATTTGACATTTGCTTTTGTATAGTCAGTAGTTATTTTTTCCTTCTTTTTTTTTTTTTTTCCCCGAGTGATTTTATTGATGATTTTCAGGGGCTAAAGATCATGCCTGAAAGTTTTTTTGGTGACTCTCTTTGTTTTATCTTTCAGATCGATGTGATTGTGACTTTGGGTGGACTTGGAGGACGCTTTGACCAAACGATGGCATCAGTGGAGACGCTTTTTCATGCAACAAATATCACTCCTTTTCCAGTGATAGTTATCCAGGAGTGCTCGCTGATTTACCTGCTTCAACCTGTAAGTGTTGTGAGAAGTTACTTCATAATAAAACTGACATTCCACCCACCCTGACCCTGTAGGTCTTGCACCATTAAATGCTCATTTTCTTAATTGTGACCTGTAGGGTCAGAGCCTAAATATAAAATATATTGCAGGGAAATAGACAGTAAATGATGTCTTTGAAAAGATCGTGTTTAATTTGTTTAGGATAAATTTGTTTAAAAGGGGAGGAACATGGAAATCCAGAAGGTATGAAAACTGAATTTGGGTAAATAGAGGATTTTGATTATAAATGAAAAAAAAAAAACAACCCAACTTTTTAATTATATTCTGGTAAGTTTCAATTTAGGACACCATCCTTTTGCATGTTGAGTAGCAGTAAGGGTGTCTGCAGTAAGAGAAGCAAAAGAAAGATGTAAGGCGAGGATATTAGGGACTTCCTGACAAACACATCAGGCAGAGCTCTTTTGTGGTCTGAGTGGTGCAGTTCATTATGATGGGAATCCAGCTAGCATCAACGAGGGAATTTATTTAAAATGTGTTATTTTGGTGGTTTTTCAGGTCTATTATGCCATTTATTGATTCATTAAAAAACACACACAAAAGATCTTGCTGGTCTTCTGCTTCTAAGATTTAAATTAGAAGTAAATTTAAGCATCAAAGAGTCTTCTCTAACAGTGATTCATTTATTCGTTTGGAAATATCTTTTCCTGATGTCAGGGTTTCTAGAAGCTTAACTACCTTTCCCATTTTATCTTGGAAAGCTTATTTCCTTAAAATAAAAGACATTCACAGATAAATTTGACAAAACCCTGTACCACACATGCTTCATTGTATTTGAGAAAAGCAATAATAAGGTTCTATGAGATTATAGATTTAAATCCACAGGGGCAGATGCTACATTAACAACTTTGAAGCGCTGTGTCTGCAGGAAAGATAGTAGGCACAGGAGCTCATTTGCCAGTATGACGATGAATGACTGATCATTAGTTGCACAGCTAAATGGATAGAGGCAGCAGAGTGAGGGGGAAAGAGGGCTAAAGGATAACTGTGGTTAAAATCTGAACGTGAGGAGTAACTCACTTCCGATTGGTCTGTGGGTGCCGTACTTCACTGACCACTGTAACCTAATCTTAGGATATTTTTAAGAGCATATCGAAAAGCTGAAATAATGTGGAGAATTCCCAGTTTAGCTTACAAAACGTTTACTTGGACTGGAAAGACTTTTAATTGTTTTCATTCATCTTTTCCGTAAGTGGCTTTAAAATGCCATGCCCAAGGTTGCTTTCAGAAGAGTCTTCAATGAATAATTAAAACCTTTGCAACTTGAAAAAAAATTATGATCTCTGCATTTAAATAGAACAGGGAGGTTGCTACTTGTTTGGGCTTGCTGGAAACTTCTTTAAGTTCTGTTTTTAGTGATGCTGTATGAAAAGCATTTAACACTTTTTTGTTGATGGGGAGAGTTCCACAGGATGTTATTTTTTTCTGCCATTCCTGGCTGCCAGTCTGCATTGCCGGTAACTGACTTCTGTAACTTCAGGCTGTTTCTAGCGTTCAGAAATAAAGGGCAGATATAGGGGGCAGGCCGTTTAAACAATCTTAATGCTGACTTTGACACAAAATTGCTTTTCATTGTTGGCTTAAACTTGTCACTGTCACCATCTTCAGTCAACTGTCATGGCACCTCCAGATAATAACATTAATCCTGCATGGTTTAGATGGAAATCAAGTGAGTAGTTTATATACTGCAAGAAACATCTGAAGCTTGCAAGTTTTTTTGGGGTTTTTTTGTATGGAGTTCAGCGTGATATTTTTCTCTTGTAAACAGCCACAATCATGACATTCTCTCTTTTTCCCCTCTCCCCTTTGTAATTTAAAATCAAGGTAGGAGGGAGTTGAACACAGTGGGAGACCCACTGACTTTTTGAAATGCAAGTCTGGAAACTGTGCAACAAATGAAGCAAGGTTTTGAGATTCAAATGCTAATGCAAATGATAAAGTTAAGAGCATGTTGCTTTTTCTGTAAAATGTAGATCTGAAACCTTTCTCTCTTGACGAAGAAGAATCTGATCTTTACTGGGTTCTCTGGATAAAATATATGAGCAAAACATAACCATGTTTTTGATTCAAAATAACATTAGCCTTCTGTTCACTATAGTGGGAGACTAGTATTGGTTCTCTATCATGTGTACCTAGGCAGAGGCTAAAATATTTGGATAGAACAGATAAACTGGTAATCCCATATCAACCCTAGGAAGGACAAAAAGGGGAATAACAAGTCAAGCTGCTGAATTTTTAGTTACTAATGCAGAAACTAAGGGGGAAATGGTGTGAGTAGATTGCCCAGTACACCATAAAATCTATTAAGTAATTGCTTTGAAAGAGAGTTATTTCACAATATTGCAATGTTGATATAGAGGGGTACAGGCAGAAGAAATATGTCAATATTTAACAGACCTGTAAAGGGTCCACAGTATCGTAAGAAAAGGGCTGATAGTCTTGCTAAAAGTCTTCAGGGTGATAGAGGAAGACAGCAAGAACGGTGCCTGATTTGGGATCCACTGCAGACTACCAAGCAAGGAGGACCAGGTAAACAAAGCCTTTTTTCATCAGCCAGTAAAATTTTCTAAGTACTGAATGTAAAGGTAATTGGTGTCTCTTGGGAAATAGATGGACAGACAGTGCAAGTTTTTTAAATATATTGATAGAAATGTTTTGGCATGGAAAATGAAGAAAACTGCAAGGAAGTAAGGTATGTTATATTAATTTCTGACATGTAAGGATGAACTATGCTGAGAGATGGAGAATTAAAAAAAGATAGGAAGAATTATACCCCATAAATACCTGTCTCCATGGACTCTATGGAGAAGTTGGGTGGTATGATGAGATTTAGGTATACACTGTAGGTATCTACCTTTAAATAAATTAATTTTAATATAGGTGTTGTGGGTGAGTGTTTTAGATAGCTTAAAGAAACACCATTAAAGGTGTTAGCAAAAGTGATTTTAACATGATGTTGTAAAAGTGAAACTTAACAAAGTTTGATGGCAAAGTTAACTCTGTTACTTATTACATGGACGAAACTTACAAAGGAAAATCAAGTTAGAATCCATTTAGAACTACTTTCATAGAGACCAGAGATGCAAAACTGTCAGGGAGACTCTCCTGTTGAGTCACAAGGTTCAGAATGGATCCCCTATGTTTTTAAACTTCTTCTCAAAGAGGAGTCTAGGTGCAGCTGGATCCAGACAGTCTCAGACTTGGTCAATGGTTTGTGTTTAATGGAATTCATGTAAAGGGTAAGAAAAACCTCCCATTGAGTTACTGCCCCAATTTGTCAAGGAATGAGTGATTATGGATCCTACACGACTTTGAGGTAGGAGCGATATAAGATTTATTAACATTATCATGGTAAATCACAAGATTAGGTTATATGGTTTTTATCAATACTTAATCAGCAGCCAATTATCAGGGTGAATTAATAAAATTTACTGTAATCAACACTACGAAGATATCTAAATCACATCACACACACATACACACAGATATGGAGGTTAACCTATGATCAAGATATTTCTCTCTTTGCCAATTGTAGAAAATTAATGGTACCAAATGATCTTTGAAACCTTGTGAAATCTAGCTGTAGTGAATTACTCACTACTCTCCTTTGTCGGCATTTGTCGGTAGAAAATCTTTGACCCCTTTTTCTTTGTCCTCATAAGTGTAGGATTTTGGAAATCCTTGTGAAATCTACCCTGAAAGTCATCCCAACCCAGGAGGGGGTGCTGGGTCAGAGCCTGCTGCGATCCCACAGAGCTCAAAGGGTCTCGCTTAGGATTGCTATTTATAGGATCACAAGATGATTGACTTTAGTCGGTATATTTCCATTCTGGCCACAGTTCTTGACAGGTAATTCTGGCACCTTCCTGGTTTGGCCACAGTTCAGGCAACAGGAGTGTCCAGTACGGTTAGGGAGTGCCTAATTGTCCTATCTCACTGTACCATAACCAGTACCAGATCATCCCAACTCACTGCACTCGTAGCCAAAACAAGAACACAATGTTAGCTGGTCCTGACATCACAACCTGGCCCAGGGAGTCTGCACCACCACCTTCTACCCTGTGAGCAAAGTCAGTCAATCTTTTCCGAAGAGTGGTAGAACTAAACAAGAAAGCAGGTATGAAATGAGGTGCATTTATGGAAGGGTCCAAGCAATGAGAACATAGTTCATAACTAGAGAAGTTGTAAGTTGACAGTGAAAGGTTTTCTCTCCTCTGAATGGGAAAGGGAAACTAATGACAAACAGCCCAAATTTAATGCATGTTTTGCTCAGTCTTCACTAATGCAAAATATTCCTTTAAGCAGATAACCAACACAGTTAAAATCAGTGCCAAAGTCTGAAGACTTTAAATTGCTTCAGAGAAAAAAAATAAATAAGAGATTGAGCTGCCTTTGATTTTTGCCAACTCCAAGGGTTGTTAGTTTTTGTGTTCCATGCAACGCTAATAGGACAGGAGTCAGAAACAGGGAGACTCTAAAAATTCCAGGAGGTGATGCTTGCTCTGAAGCATCTTCTAATGTGATAGCTGTAATTCCCCAAAAAAAGAAAGAAAAAAAGAGTATCTCTATACTGAATTTTTCTTATTTCTTTCATATTTCTTTCTGTAGTGGGGGGAGGGAGGAAAGTCTGAATTCTTAATGAGTAATCACTCTTTATGAGCAGCATATTTTATACAGTAGTCCATACATTTTATGCTTGAAATTTTGGTAATATCAATTACCATTAGAATATACCCTGGCTGAAGAGCATTAGGCCCTCAGAGTCATGTTTATCATGCTAGCCATGCTCAATATGAATGGCTTAAGGTTTCACATACATACTTTCTCATTTTCTGGTTGTGTGCTTCTCAGGAGTGCAGAAACATTAGCTTCTGTACACTGAGCATAAATTATCTTTTATCTGTGAGTTTTATGGCAGTTTGTAATACAAGGTAATAGGATTTATGACCAAGAAA